ACGCCGCCATCCGAATCGACGGACATGGCATCTGAGTCGGAGTCGAAATTGGGCAGGTCAACATCTTCCACCACCGGGGGCAGGATTGTAATGGCCATGCTTCAAAAGTTATCGAGTAGCAAAGGATCGAATATGCAGATGGCAAGGTAAATTTTCGCCAATCGAGTCGGACGGGAAAAGCTGGGAGGTGGTTACATTCGTTGCACTCTCGTCGGTCATTCTGTGAAGACTTTCCGGACCGGAACAAACCAGACAAACTTCTGGTGGAGATGCACGTGAATCCCGCTAATTTAGCCCTTCACTCTCAAGTATAAACCATTTCCATTGATGATTGAATAGTTTCATCTTCTATCTTTCGAATCGGTTCTTTCCTTTCTTAGTTCTTTTTTTTTTCGAATACAAAAGGACTACAAATCTTGTCTACGTAAAACAGAAGCTCAGTAGCCAGAGAAAGATGTCAGTTCCGCATAATGCTTTGTCAAAGTGCAGGCTTCATTAGGGTACAAAACCGACCAACATAAGATCCCCAATAATTAATATACCGAGGAGTATCACCCGAATACTGAGTCTCAACGGGATACTACCGGCCCTTCCTCCCCTCCTGAACAAAATGACGCTAGGTGGAATACTGTGGGCTCAAGCATTGATGCCTGAGGACCGCTTCGATGTCCGCTTGGCAGGAGTAGAACCATCATCGTCCTTGTCCTTCTTCTTCCGGCTTGGACGACTGCTGCCACCCTTAGGCCGATATCCACTGTCTTCATCCCGCTTACGTTTGCCCCTGGCACCCCCCGTGGTTGGTGCAGTCTCCACAAAAGAGCCATCATCATCATACACATCCTCGTCCTTTCGAGCCTGGGCGGTGGCTCTCTTAGACGCACGCGAGGGCCGAGAGCCAGACTTCTCGGAAGCGTTCTCGTTATCTTGAAGGAAAATCTGGGGCTGATTTCGTCGGAGCCAGTTATGCACGGAAATCGGGATACGTAGATTGGCATCCCGCGTACGCTCGACGAGGGATGACTTATTCGGCATAGACACCAGCTGTTCAATGGCACCCTCATCGCCCAATTTGGCATCCAACGCTAGGTAGTACTCCGTCTCATGCTCAGGAGTCAGGAATCCAAGCTCGTGAGCGGGGTAACGATCCTCGGGTCGATTGTCAGACAAAGGTGCAGAATGGGGCACCTGTTTTAGGGACGTGTACTGTAGGCGCGGTGCAAAGGCTTTGCTTCGCCGAACGTCGTCTTCCAGTTCACGATAGGCATGAGCAGTCATCCGGCCAGCAGCCATACGACCTTTGGCATCCTTTAGCATGGATCCCGCGATGGCGGGATCATTGTAAGAGGCTGGAATATCTCGATCGGGAGGTGGCAGGAAGGTCTCATCTCCTGGCGCACTCAAGTCGTATCGTAGACTGGGAGACACGTGGAGGTTGTCATTGAATTCAAGCAGAACCTCCAGAAGTTGACTGTAGCACTGTCAGTATCGACGGGAGTCGACCAGGCGAGGGCGATGTATGCATACTCATTCTGTTCCTGGATTCTCTTAGAAAGATCCTCGATGCGCAATCCTTCGCGAATGAGCGCCTCGCTTTCCCCCATCTGCATTTCAAACTTCATTTTGAGCTTCGCAAACTTCTTTCTGATTGGCGATAAAGATTAGCCAGTGGCCTAAGGACCATACTGCTCTGGGACTATGCTCACTTGAAAGACTTGTAGGACTGCCGAGCAGGGGCGCCGCCGGAGGCATCGGGCAGACTTTCAGCCACCGATCTTGTTTCGTCAAGTGTTTGGGACATGACGAACACGAAGCACAATGGAGAATGAAGAGTGGATTCTATTGTTTTCCCTTTTCCTGTTGGTGAAAGGGTAGGCGTTCTAGAATTAGGAGGCTAGGGAAACCGGTTAAGGGAGGAGTGAGATTGTGAGTGTTTGACATTGGGGTCACTCCCTTTGCAGACTGGCGAATCGGGCTGGAAGGATTCCGCCAAGCCCAGAGTTGATAAGGCGGAGTGTTTCTGCCCGCCGCAATAGAAAAGCGATAGGAAATGGAGAAAAAAAATTATCTCCGACTGCGACAAGAACTATTCACGCATGCATCTCATTCTTTCTTATGATAACTCTTGAAACTCATCGATTGCGACCTTCATATCCACTTCTACAGCATAGCTCTGTCAAGTTCCATTCCAGTTTCGTGAAAACTTAGTCATGGCTAGCATTGGGGAAGGAACCCAAAAGAAGCGCAAGCTCACAGACGTTGAAGAGATCGAGATTGACGTCTCTGCCCCTGAGCCGCCATCGAAAAAAGCTTTGCGTAAAGCGAAGAAAGCAGCCACTGCAAAGCCCTCCGAGTCTACCACAGAGACTGAAGCGGTGGCCGCTGTCGAAAAACCTACTACTGCCCCCCAAAAGCGTTCCGATCACGGTGTCTGGATTGGAAATCTTGCCTTTTCTGTCACCAAGGATGATCTGCGCACCTTCTTCACGAGCAACTGTTCCTTCGCGGACACGACTATTACCCGCATACATATGCCCAAGGGCGCGGAAAGATTCGGAAAATCTCAGAACAAAGGATTTGCTTATGTCGACTTCTCCACTCAGAAGGCGACCGAAGAGGCCATAGGCCTCAGTGAGCAGCTCCTAACAGGTCGTCGCGTGCTTATCAAGGATGCAAAGAGCTTTGCTGGAAGACCCGACAAACCCAAGGAAGACGGTCAGACGGGCTCTGCAGCATCTGGTCATGCTCCCTCCAAGCGCATATTTGTCGGCAACCTCGGCTTCGACGCCACCAAAGAAGCCATTGAGGAACATTTCGCTCAATGCGGTACTGTAGCTAACGTACATGTGGCGACCTTCCAGGACTCCGGCAAATGCAAGGGTTATGCTTGGGTGGTGTTTGAGGATCTTGCCGCAGCTGAAGCAGCGGTGAAGGGCTATGTGCTGGTGAAGGAGGATGATGAGGAGGAGGAAGACGAATCCGAACTAGAAGAGCGCAAAAAGTCCAGGAAGCCCCGGCAGAGGAAGATCTGGGTGAACTTCCTTCTGGGACGGCGGCTGCGTATGGAGTTCGCCGAAGACGCCACTACTCGCTACAAGAAACGGTTCGGAAAGGACGGCGAGGGCAAGAGAAACAACAACTCAGAGACCGGCGATGCCGAGGCTGGAGAATTCGAAGCCACCGAAGAGCAGCCTCGCCAAGCACGGCCTCCTAGAGCCAAGCAATCGAAGCCCGAATATACAAGATACGACCAGGACACAGTGCAGAAGCTTAGTGGTGCCATTGTCGAATCCAAGGGCAAGAAGACCACCTTCGATTAATGGTGGTCAGTGAGGCGATGAGAGCAAGCAAGTGGACGATAGACAGGCTTTGAGGGTCGGGTGTTGGCCTTCAATGAAGCGCGATACTAGAGGGAGACCCTCGAGTGTGTACTCTGGCCGTTGGTTGTCAATATAACGCGCGAGATTGTGAGCTGGTCAAGCCTTGCATGGTACGAGATTCGAATGTCGCTTTGTCTGAGATGCACGGGAAGGAAGTGTTTCCTTGACTCCATCCATTGAACTATACCCCACTGTTTCTGCTGGTACGCATAAGTACCATGTATGTATATAGACTTGTAGCAGAAGGGAAGGGGGAGGGTGTGGATCCAAGGCAGTTTGCAGGAAGACGGGAGTTATACCCTTACGATGATTCCGGAATGAAAATGATTGATTGATTAGTTTCGTATCTCAACGAATCAGCTGATCATTGCAATTGTTGTCATTCATATCACAAACCCATCAGATTTGGCCGGTCGAGGGCGATCAATCTCTATCTTATTATTACACAAGTCCATCAAATTTCAACTGATTGGGACGCAAAGGAGTGAGATTAAAGCAGGTTAAGCTTCGTACATACGGTACACCTGCCAAGGCCTTAGTCAGCAGTACCATTCATACCCACCACTGACCAACGATGATGATGATGATTGTTATTATTCTTATTCCACTTTGAGGATGTGTACGAGGTACCTACATTGTCTGGATATGGATGTGGGATGTTGGAATTGAGATGCGTATGGATGTACAGTATCACCCCCAAACCAATGTACATATGTATGTTCCTGAAGGAAAGGGATCCTCTATATGTACTGGACAGTATGTACTGCAACAGTTCCACTGGTTGGAAGTTTGGATGGAATATGGGGAACTCGGGAGTTGCGACCGCGCGTCGATCAAGTCGATGTGGTTCGTTCCTGGTTTCGGTCAGTTCTTTTTTCCTGGAGTGATTACCTACTGTGAACTCACTGTACTGTACTTACTGGACTTACTTCCATCTGCTCCGTACTTCAGTTTACCTTAAACTCCTACCTACTACCAAGTCCTCCCTACTCGTTCTAGAATCGCTGAGGTGGTCGTGGAGGGCACTAAACCGGATTGAGGTGGTTGACATCTCTTTCGATGTCATGGCTCTCTTCGTCTCGCAATGCTCAAAACCACCAACTCCTCCCACCCCCAACTGAATTGAACTGAACTAACCACTCCAACTAGCTTAAGAGGTGCTGCTGTTACTTTTCCTTTTCCCTCAATCTCTCCTTCGCCCTCTTTTTAGAGGTGCAGTATCCTATCTTTCTCTTCTCCCCGATTAATTCGTTTTTCTTCTGCTTTTCTTCTTCTCTTCTTCATCTTCTTCCTTCCTCCCCCTCACCCACTTCTTACTTTCTTCTCCCCGTTCTTCCCCACCTCTTCTCACATGCGTATTATTAATTTCTTCTTCCTGGTCCCCGTTTTGTTTGCCTCAGCTTGACTTCTGTCCTCCCACCCGCCGCCAACCACCACTAACCACAACCGACCAACCGACCAACCATCCTCATCATCACCACTACCACCACAACTAGCAAACACCTGCTCCTGCACGCCGTCACTACACTTCGATCATTTCTTATATTTTGTCTCGTCTGCCTACACCGCAATCATCCTCGATCATTACAGCTACCCTCTTTCGATTCATTTGACTTCGTCGAGATGGCCCCACGACGTCACAACATCGGTGCTAGCCGCCGAAGGAGAAGAGACGAGGAGGGCGAAGATGAGGGCTCACTGGATGGTGAGCTGGAGGATGACTCTCTCAGCGAAGGCTCTGTTATCAGCCACCAAGATGATGAAGACGCCGATGGAGAAGGTAGCGATGACAGCGACGACGAGCTGCAAACGTCTTCGCACACTCGTGCTTCGCAACTCAATGGGCGAAGGCCCGAAGTAAACCAGAAGCCGGGACGCCGCCATTCGACATCTCCGAGCAAACGGCTTATCGCTAGCACGATGTCAGATACAGAGGCTATGATGAATGGCATGAAACTATCGGAAGACATCACCCGGGAGACGGAGATCCATTTTGATGACTTGAAAGGGGAGCTTGGCCCTCTAACGGGAAGGACCCCATCGGCACCACCATCGGAACCGAGAAGGGAGACCATTACAGAGAAGAAACGCCGGGAGCAGGAGAAAGCCATAACCAAAGAGAAGGATGAGAACCCTGCCTTGGTGCCCACCCGAGGGAGCTTCTTTCTTCACGATAAGCGTTCTATCGACACCGTGACGAATGGCCACAAGGCTTCTACGAAATCGAAATCTAGGCCATATGGACTTATCGTGGACGGTAATGTGCGCAGGTGCGTCAATATCCAGACTCCGATCTCGTAGAGCCCGGTCGCTTCTACGCGTCAGCCCGTCACACCAGCTAACCTGCCGTAGACACAACGTCGTCAAGCCGGATGCAAGCGAAGGGCAGTGGACGCATGATCTCCACGATACCGTCGCTGGAGACCGTCCATCGACAGCCAAGGCCCCAACCGTGCCAACAGGGTTCTCGAACTATCCCCAGCGACCTGTTCCCACGGCTCCCAGGTCATCCCCGCCGAATCGGTCTTTTTCGAGCACTACGTTGATCGGGAACGTGCCTGTGGTGGTCCTCCTACCAGGTATGGAGCAGCCTATCTCCTATCCAGCAGTCACAAAAAAGCAACACACTCGACTCCCTCAGCATCGCCCTCCGCTACGTCGCGATAAACCCGTCCGGATCTCGCTTCCGGGCCAACCTCCTCGATACATATTTCCCGCCATAGAGCGGTCCTTCATCTTCATCCCCCGGGCTCTGCGCCCGAATCAGCAGGCGTTTCGCGGACGTCGTGGCGGTTTTATGACGGGGCGACGCCCCAGCATTTATGCAAGTTCGACGTACGCCCCTAGTGTCAGTATCAGCCGACGATCATCCTTGGGCAAGCCGCCCTCACAGGAGGGATGGCACTCGCCGGCCGGCTCGGTCTTCTCACGGCCTACCATCATTACCACTGAAAATGGAAAGCCAGTCGTCCGCCTACCTCCTCCACGACCGCCTCTAGGAATCCTGCACGTTCCTGCTGGTCCAGTACTCGCCTCGTCGGCAATACCGCCTCCTCTGTCTTCTTTACCGCAGCCCCCCGCGTACCGTGAGAGCTGCCCGGCTCCCATTCCCATGCATCAGCCTCGTCCTCAGAAGGCCGTTTCAGTTGCCGACATCGAGATTCCGGCAGCCTTTCCCTTCCACACGCCCCAGCCCCAACAGGAGCAGCCTTTCCATCACCAGGTGCCGATGCCTGCCAACGGACCCGTCTATGGTCCGGAGGCCTCTACCCACGCACCTGTTGCTCACACATCTGCAACGCCTGTGTCCCACATTCCCGACCGCGCGATTCATGCGCAGCCGTTCCAACCATACGGATTTCAGCAACCTCAGGTGTTCTACCCTGCATCATATCCGGCGGCTGCCGTCTATTACCCGAGTTCGGGTACAGACTATCCCACTTTCAACGCGGCAAGTGCTCCAGGAGCTTCCGCCCCGGCCTTCCCTCAGGGACAACATGGGCCCCCCTATATGGTTTCGGCGGCGCCTTCGTCAGGTGAACAAGCGTCGCAGCCAGGAATGGTTGCCCATGAAGCTGGCGGGACGGTCTACTTCTATGATGCCAACCAGATGTATCCCAACTCGTCATACGGAATGCAGAATGTTCCCGCGCCTGGTGGAGTGGTTGGCATGGGTGGGATGTTAACACCCCCAGGCGCAACTTACTATTACGCCCAGTCCCAGGGCGGTGTCTATTATGCCTCGCAGTGATTAACCCACTGAAGGCTTCACTTCTCGATTCCGTCTCTTTTCTCTTCTCTTCTCTTCGTCCTATCTTCTTAAAATCCCTTCTATACTACCGACTCTAAAATCTCTGACCTCCCCTCCTTGATGACCATGTTTTCTTCTCTATTCTTTTTCTATATTCCCTCATATCTTCATTCTCACGGAAACGCACCGATTTTTGACCTGTCTTCGAAAACATGATGATGTCTCTTTTCTGCCACGGCTCTTCTTGATGTGACCTATGCTCACTCTTCCAGTTTTATCTTTCCGTGGTATAGGCTCGCCGAGCATGTTTATGCTGTTCGGGCTGTCTTTCAGTTGTGGTTAGATTAGGCTTTTCTGCATTACTAGCGACTCTTGTGATCTCCCCGCCTCGTCATTCGCCCTTGACTTTTCTCATAACTCTATAGCTCTTGCCGTTTCTCCCGTCGGTGCCTTCTTTTCTATTTCTATTTCTGCTTCTTCCTTTCTTCTTTTTTGTTTCATGGTTATTTTCCCGGGTGATCTGTCCGCCAGTGGTTGCTTGCTGCGGGACACCACCACTCCTCCCGGTGTACGGATACCATATTTGTTCCATGTACTCACGTGGTGAATGAATGACCATGGCCCTTATTTCTCATGACTTCGTTGCATGTCCAGTTTCCATGGTCTCTATAATGAGTGTACTCAATGATACTCACTACTCTCGGTGGTGTTGATGCCTATTCGTAATGATGGGAAAGACCCGGCTGGTCTGATCGGCGGCCAAGCTTGTTCGGTGGTTGCCTGTCAGTTGAGAGGGGAAAGTGGCAAGCTCTCGGCGCCGACAGCCAAGAGCCAAGACGTTGTCAAGGAGTGTCCTTCGTATACTAGCTTTTTTTTATCTGAGTCGCATGATGCAAGAATTATCCAGAGCGAAGATCCAAGAAGGAACAGCCAGACGAGGGGAGAAATACGGAGAAATAGGGATGGATGCATTACTGGCATCACTCTTTCGGTTTAATGGGGAAAATTAGGACCGGCCATAGCATCGCATCGCAAGCATTATTGCACAATTGCTGGGTGATCCCCCGGCAGGCGATCTGAACGTGACGTCAGCGCTGGATGTCAAAACGGGCTCGGAAGAAAGGATCTACCACTGGCTGGCAGCAGCATGAGCAACAGCAGTGTTGTCCCCCCGGTCAGGATGAAATCATACTGCCTTAGGGGGATGGACAAAAAGAACCGAGGAATTCCAAATTTCGACCCGATGAGATGCCATAGCAATGCCTCGTTATTCTGCAGGTATCGGATCCACCGGGGCAGAGGAGGTACAGTACAGTACAGAATATTTAGCAGGTACTTCGATAGCCATTCCGCTGGTTCTGTGGAGTCACCGAGTCGGGGTAAGTGGAAGAGAACCGGAGATCCGTGCCGTACAGATAGGCAATGATGATTACAGAAGTGGGGTAGCAAGACCTTCACGAACCAGTTGACGTTGTCAGATCAACAAGGACCGTGTAAAGGGGAGACAGAGTACAGACATAGTACATGGTCTCTGTCCCTGGTAGTTCAATTGACAATCACTGAAGCCATCAAACATAGTATGTACTCAGTATTTGAATGTATATCGCGTCAACAGAGTCATGGGCCCATGTATAAAGAAAAGAAAAGGAAGGAAGGGATTTAAACAAGGATCATGGATTGATTTAGTTTCTAATTTTTATTTTACAGTGATCAACTAAGTAAGTTGCTTAGTTAGGTTCTTACATAGTACGGAGACTGTAGCTACAAAGTAGACTATGAGATGAGTAAAAGAGTAGGCTCACCGCCTCGGCCGGATGCAGCCAGCCAGCAACCGCGGACGCGCAGACTGGCAGGGCTGCCTTCAAGCAACCAGCTGACCTCCAGCTGCTTTTTTCCCTCTCCCTCTTTAACTCCGCCTTCTCCTCCTTCTCTCCTTCTCCTCCTCCTCCTCTTCTCTTTCTCCCCTTCTCTTCCGTCATCTCCCCCATCTCCCCATCTCCCCATCTCTCTCTCATCTTTCCCAACTTAACTCTTCTTCAACATCACCTCACCCCCTCCCCATCCAAGTCTTTCAAATCCTTTCCCTTTCCTCTTCTCCTCCCTTAATTACTTTCCCTCTCTCCCACTCTCCCAAACTCTCCCTTCCGTTACTCCTCCCTCACCCACTCCTTCCATCATCAACCACCATCTCATCCACTGCCATCTATCCATCATCCATCCACGCTCTACATCTATCTATTACCTATCCTCCTTCCATCCTCTCTTTATCTCTCAGTAACACCATCTCAGCTGGGCTGTTGTGGTGCTCTAGTCCTGTCTCGTGCTTTGCCACTTGAACTTCAAGGTCACTTCTACTACTTGGTCGCACCCGAGCCGGTTAGCGTTGCCGTGCTGCCTGATCCATAAGGTCCAGACCCTCCTATCTCTACGCCAAGCAAGAGCTTCCACACGGTCGGGCATCGTCGTCAACCAACATCATCATTATCGCCATGGCTACTCCCACTACTCCCACTTCAGCTGTGGGTCCCAGCACTTTGATCACAGTCAAGGTGTTGTATAATGACAACACTCGTCGCTTTAAGATCCCGCTGAAAGAGCTTGGAGCTCGTACTCTACCCCAGAATGTAAGTTTCCAGTCCCCACTCGACCTCCGACCGGAGCTCCTCCGCTTCCCCCCTCCCCCCATCAACCTTAAACCTGCCCTTTCCCTCCGCTACTCTCTGCCCTCATCTCTCTCCCAGTGTCCTCTTCATCAGAAACCATTTTCCTTGCTAGATTGATGTCTCCTACCCTGTATATGTGTCCCGTCCATCTGGAGTCCCATGCCTTTCTATTATAATTCTGTCCCTTCGTAACAAGGATCTTGATCACCTGTGCAAGCTGCGACCATCGCTATCGCATGCTGATCTCTTATTCTTGCCTCTAGCTCCGCCAACTGCTTAGTGTTCCAGACGATGTGAACGTGATCTTTGAGAGGTACTCGGACAGTGCCGGCAACTATGTGCACCTGGACAGCCAGAACCCGGCCGTTTACAAACAACTCTACCGGGCAGCCAAAGCGAAACTCAAGCTGCGAATCAAGGCCACTACTGCCGATGAGATTGCTTCCCAACCTCCTATGGAGGAAGGTTCGTCAGAACAACAGATTGCCTCTCGATATAGCTATCTAGAAACTGTCTTGGGTTCCCCCCTCCCTGAATCCCAGGCTGAAGTCCTGCCCACCACGACGTCCGCATCAACCACCGACCTGGTTGACAATGTGGCTAGTCCTATTCCAGCAGACACTCAATCTGCTCACTGGGAGACTGAGCCTTCTACACAGCCGAACTCCCGTGATTTCGTGTTCGACGGTTCCCACTTCCCGGTTGTGTCCCATGCCTCTCCCAGCGGAGTGTTCTGCATCGATTGCAATCGCTGCGGTTTGTCCATCCCGAACGAACACTATCACTGCAGCATCTGCGATAATGGGGATTATGATCTCTGCCCTCAATGTGTGAACAGCGGAGCGACTTGTCTCAATGAAGAGCACTGGTTGATTAGACGGGTCGTCAAAGACGGCCAAGTCACCAACAGTACCACCGAGACGATCCCTCCCCGCAAGGTCGCAGTTGAGGACGTCAAAGAGGCGACTACGGCGTCGGTTCCCGAACCAGTCCGCGAGCCCTCTCCCAAACCTGCTCCGGCTTCGGCTCCAACCTCGGCTCCGGCCGCGACAGAGCTCAACAGTCTGCGTATCTGTAATGACTGCCTTAAAGGTAAGTCTCCTGTCTGCGTCCTGAATTTAATGAGGTATTAACTAGGCATAGAACATGATGAGAGCAAAATGGTCTCGTGTGCTGACTGTGATGACTACGACCTCTGTATTACCTGCCTCCTCAAGGACTCGCACGGCCATCATCCCGCCCACACATTCGCTCTGGTTGAGGACCGCCAGTTCGCTCTGAAGAGTATCGTCCAGTCGCGTTGCAACCCCGGGCGTCATCATCACCATGCGGCAATCTGCGATGGATGCGAGAAGGTATTTTCTTGGTTCTGTCTGGTTCATATCTGTTATCTAGAGTCAACTAACGGTTGTGCTAGCGTATCATCGGTGTCCGCCACAAGTGCTTGACTTGCCCGGACTGGGACTACTGCACCGAATGCTATGAGAAGGTCCCTCAGCAACACCCCGGTCATCGGTTCGCCCCCCTTTACGATTCGATCGCCGAGCCTTTGATCAACCACGAGGTGCACTACGGTATCTACTGTGATGGTCCTCTATGTCGGGCCAAGCCCTGTCCCACATTCATCACTGGTACTAGGTACAAGTGTTCCGTGTGCCATGATACCGATTTCTGCGCCAGTTGCGAGGTTCATCCGACAAACACGCACAACCGAACCCACCCATTGCTGATGCTCAAGACCCCCGTACGTGACGTCCGGGTCAGCACCCTCGATAGATCTGAGCAAGGAGTGACAATGATCGGTGACCGCTTGGAAAAGTCTGTATCAACTGAATCCGCCCTTCTTGGTGAGCCTGAGCAGACGGTCCAGGAAGCGTCCGAAGCAGTCAAAGAAGCCGTTGAGGAGCCGGCTCCCGTGGAGCAAGCCAGCCCTGTTGTAGACACGACCACAGCCTCAGCTGGACAGACTCTGGCTGTGGACCCCGCCTCGGGGTACCAAGCTTTCTTCATTCGTGACACTATCCCCGATGACACGGCCATGGCTCCCAACACCCCCTTCCAGCAAACATGGACACTGTTCAACCCGGGCCCCATGGCTTGGCCTGCCGGGACGGATGTGCAGTTTGTCGGTGGCGATTCAATGTTCAATGTGGACACCAACCACCCATTGAGCCTCAACTCCATCGCCGCTGCCATGGAGAGCAACAAGTTGAATCAGCCTTTGGAGCCCGGTCAGAGTGCCGACTTCACGGTGACCCTCAAGACACCTAGCCGTCTAGGCACTGCCATTTCCTATTGGCGACTCAAGCTTCCTAGCGGCATGCCATTTGGCCACCGTTTGTGGTGTGATATCCAAGTGCGCAACGTGAACCCGGTGGCTGATACCCTATCGTCGTCTGAGGATGTCCAAGCGGCACCCGCTGTGGAAGCTGCTCAGCCTGAGCCTACTGGTAGTCAAATGATCTTTCCCAAGCTGGAGAAGGAGTCTCCGGAATCGAGCACGCACGAGGCTGCAATCACGGCTCCCTCGGTGTCCTACCGCTCGGAGCAGGATGTTCTGGATGACATGGACAGTTTGACCTTGGATGATGAGACGGACGTTGGCCTCTTGACAGACGAGGAGTACGACATCCTGGATGCCAGTGATCAAGAGTACCTTGAGGCCAAGTCCCAGCATTAGTGGGGTCGCTTGGTTCAAGACAGGGACTCTTCCAAGCACGGGCTTTCTGGGTTCTGGACGGAGTTACTTAGCGATGAATGGAAGTGGGGACAGCGCTTCTGGTGTGCGTTTTGGGTTTTATGTTTCTATTTGCTCACTTTCTCTTCTGTCTTAGCTAAATCCGGGGCTCTTCAATTGAATGGGAAAAGGGAAATGCATCCAACCTAACGAAAACCGGGGTGGGGAGGAGATGAATTAGGGAATGAAATTAGCTGTAGTGAGAGACTCAACTCCACTCCAATTCTCAGATTGCAAAAAGGAAGTAGAGTAAGGTATCCATGCTATGGTCCAGTGGTTGTGCTCGAGTCCCTTACTTTATTTTCAACCTCGACCTCCCCCTCATCCATACATACTTCATTTTACTACTCTTACATGGTGCTTTCTCTGCTGTCGCACACACACACACACACACACACAGAGAGCGAGAGAGACAGACACCAGCTTTACTCTCTCTTTGGCTCTATCTCTTTCTTCTCCACTCAATTGAATTCCCCACCCCCCGCATTCCTCTTTGGGTGATGAGATTTGCTAATAAGTTTGCCTGTCCCCCCCCCTTGCCTCCTCCTCCTCCTCCTCCTCCTCCTCCTCCTTTCTTCCTCCTCCTCATCCTTGACCCTTGTCCTCCTTCTTTCCTTCCTTCCTTCCTTTTTCCAATGCTCCGCTTGAAGGTTGTTCCGAGCAATGGGACATTTGAACACGTATACACGCTCCGCTTAACAGGAGCACAGTCACGGCTGCGCAGACTGACCACGCTGGCTAGCCTAGCTTCGAATATCTTTTTTCCGCTATGAAGAGCTCTTTCAATCTCGCCATCCTTGTCTTGGTGGCAGCCAATCTTTATGGACCCGTCTGTCACTGGCTCACCGTCGTGGGAGTCTTCCGGGCAGCTACTGACATCGTGACAACCGAGGCCCAGAAGATCCATAAGATCGAAGACACCATGCAGTGCGAAGATATGCATCACTACCAACCTACGGGCCAGATCTTTGCAGCCTGTGAAGACTCCCTCCTGCCCCGGTTCAAGTGGTTCCCGCCACTAGGGAATTTACAGGGGCCGGCTCAGTCGACAGGCTCATTTCATGTCATCGATACCAAGGTAAGACGTGCCCAGTCGGCATGACGGTGATGCTCGCGAAGCTCATGGTATACGACTAGACCCTCGAGTCCCGGCGACTTACATTTGAGAACTTCCACGGGCCCTTTGTGACGCATGGGCTTGATCTTGTCGACGATCCGGATCGCCAGGGTGCCATTTACATCTATGCGATCAACCATTTGTCGAACCCGCACTACTTCGAGAAGCCCTCGGCTGAAGGCGTTCCGAAGGCCCACTCTCAGCTTGAGCTCTTTCACCATGTCTTGGGCTCCAGTACCGTTCGCCATGTCCGCTCCATATCTCATCCCTTGATTGTCACCCCAAACGACATTTACGCCGAGAGCTTGCACTCGATTTATGTCACGAACGACCACTTCTATCGAGAAGGCTTCATGCGCACAGTTGAAGATATACTCCCATTGGCGAAATGGACCAATGTTATCCATGTGAATGTCAATCATATCCAGTCCAATAGCGCGGATACAGGCATTGATGCCGTCGTAGCGTCCCAGGGATACCTGAACATCAACGGGTTGGGCCATGGGCAGTCCCAGGAGGAGTTGCTGCTCTCCAGTGCCGCGGGAGGCATCATGTACCGTGCAAGGGCAGACCGCAGCAACCGCACCCTCTCGGTGCTGGATGAGTTTGCCTTCGAGAGCACGATCGATAATCCAACCTACTATCACGATCCTTATGCAACCCCCGACAATGACGCTAGCGGATACGTGGTCGGTGGTCTGCTGCGGGCAGTCGATCTGCGCCGAACCCACAACGACCCGCATGCTCAGGAAGGCGTCATGGTGTGGCACCTGCGTCGTCATTTCGGAGACACCGCGAACCCGGAATGGGAGAAGCGTCTCCTTTTCGAGGATGATGGAAGCGCCATCCGATCCGCCAGCACCGCGTTGTTGCTTCCCTTGGAGCCCAAGGATCCTGCGGCGAAGACGGCCATGCTGTTTGTGACAGGCTTTGTGTCAAGAAATATCATTGCGGTCGAGGTGCCATTATAAGAAGGGGGCTCACTCAAGCGGAACTACTTTCTTATCATTATGTTATCCCAAAATTACTTACGCTACTGAATCCTCATCCTCCTCCTCCTCCTCCTCCTCCTCCTCCTCCTTACTACGTATCCTCATTGTAGGGGGAAGGAAACCCAGTAAAGAAAACTATGTAATCTTCCTCAGGGCTTTGACGACCTCCTCGGTCCTGACCACCTCCGCGAATTCACCATCCAAACTCGCCAACGAAACCGCGTGCACCGTCTCCGCATCGAAGTCCCCCTTCGCCCACGTCGCCGTCGCATCCCCCACCAAGAGGATGCGCCCTGGATCCCCCGTCGGGGGGATCGCATGCGCTCCCGTGCGCTGATCCACGGGGACACGACCATCCGCCCCCTCGGCACCACGACCGCGATCCACCACGCCGAGGTTGGCCGCCATGCGCACGGTCGTCGACACGCAGTGGTCGGTGGTCAGGCCCGTCACGATCAGCTGGCGAATCCCGCGCGCGTGCAGGTGGGCCTCCAGCCCCGTGCCGACGAAGCTCGAGTTAACACATTTCCAGAACACGGGCTCCGAGCCGTCCGGCGCCGGGACGGCGAAGTCGAGCGGCTGGCGCCCGTTGACGGGGGCGGCCGGGTGGAAGGGCGAGTCCCGCTCCGTCGAGGTGTGGAAGACGTGAATGACTTCCAGGGTGGGGGTAAGCGTCGTCTGCGCTGCGGCTGCCGCACGGAAGGCGACCAGCAGGGATTGGATGTTGGGCTCGTAGAGCGGGTTGGAGCGTGAGGGGCCCCAGTGGGTGGGATGCGTGAAGGCGGTTTGGTTGTCGATGAGGAGGAGCGCCGTGGGGGTGGTGAAGGTTATTGGGGGACTGGGAGGGGTCATGGTGGAGGATGTCTTGGTCGAGTCGTGGGTGGTATGGAAATGGGTATGGGTGAGGTGGTTGAGGAGGTGTGGTGTCTTCATAATGTTTGGTTGTCGCTGGTGAGATGATTTATAGTTGTATTGTATTATAGATCGTGGTGGTGAGTCACATGGGATCAGCAGTTAAGTTACTGATTACCAATTGATTCCTGATGATAAATCAGACTGTAACGTTACTCCAAGGGGTAGCAGAGAATGAACTTGGACAAGAGAATATCCTCAGGTAGTCGATATATTGTTCCAAGTTGTTTACTGCTGGCGATGACGATTACTTATGCCTGAGGCATACAGTTGCTGCCTTGTTGCCTTGGGTCATTCTTTCCTCCGCGTTACTCCATCCAAACTCCGCACTTTGCCTTCTTCCCTTCCTTCCTTCCGTCCTTCCTTCAATCAATCATACGAATGAACATCCCTCTTCTAGACCTTCTCACCTGCACTGAGTCTTCAATTCCTGCTATCTCAGTCAATTGAGTCCCCCCGGCGAAAATGCCGGTTTCCCTCCGTGCCCCCCAGGCCCGAGTGCTCCTCCGCTCACGACCGCCGACCACCTCCCTGAGCCGCAGCAGCAGCAGCATCACATCTCTCCTTCTCCTCCGCCACCAGCACCAGCTCAACAAATCCGACTACCGCCATTCCTTCTCCACCACATCCACCACCTCTTCCAAATCCCCGACCTCACTTCCCCAATCGCTCTCCCCCACCACCAACCACTCCCTCTCCACCAACATCAACCCGCCCGCGAGCACCCGCCCAGCAGACCTCACCCTCCCCACGGCCCTCAGCCCCTCGGCCTCGCCCGCGGACAAACTCAAGCACTACCTGGCCGTCGGCCGCGCCTACCTGACCTTCTACAAGACGGGCCTCAAGAATGTCTACCACAACCACCGCGCCGCGGTGCCCCTCCGCCGCGCCCTGGGCGTGCCCGCCCATCTCCCGACCTCCGCCTATCTGGTCGTGACGAAAGAGTCCCTGGTGGCGAGCAAGGGTAACGCCAATGTTTCGACGACGATGACGACAACAACAACAGCAAAAACCGCCAAGAACAACAGCAGCAACAACAACAACAACAACAACAACAAGAAGAACAACAACAACAACAGGCCCGCAGCCATCTCGCGCTCTAGCTTCCAGCTCCTCCATCGCGCCGCCTACGACATCCGTCGCATGATCCCCTTCACCCTCCTCCTCATCGTCTGCGGCGAGTTCACGCCTCTCGTCGTCCTGGCGCTGGGCAATGCCGTCACCCCGCGCACGTGTCGTGTTCCCCGCCAGCTGGAGAAGGAGCGCGCGAAACGCGTGCAGCGGAAGAAGGGGGCGCTGCTCCTCGATCGCGGGACGGTTACGGCGCCGGAGGTCGGCAGTGAGAAGGAGATGAAGAGCCTGAGGTGGTTGATGGCCGCGAGTGGAGACGGGGACCGGGAGGCGGCCGCTCGCGCGTGTGCCGTGTTCGGCTTGGCCGGGTCGCATGATCGCCTGGCGTGGCCGGTGCTCCCGCTGTATCGACGGCGCTTAGAGCGGTATCTCGATTACCTGGAGATGGATGACGAGCTGATCCGGAGGGGTGGCGGAGTTCAGGCCATGGAAGCCGCCGAGGTCCGCATTGCGGTGGAGGAACGCGGCGGAGTTGGGGTCGGTTCTCGGGGCAATGGGCGAACCGGATGGGAGGTGGAACGCGAGGAGAGACGATGGTTGGAGAGGTGGTTGCAATGGAGGGATTGAGTAGTTCCTCGATTCATGTAGACTCCATCACTTCATATACAAGACTAGGTAGGTACTGTGACGTATATTGGGTATGTATAGTAGTATGTATCCTATGTAAAGCTTCCTCGACTCCCTCGACTCCCTCAAACGGCCACCGATCGATTTATAGAACGGTTGAAATGTATTCAGGTGTCATTTGCTATACAACCTAGACACTCAACGGTATTGACAAGTCATCGAATAGTCCGAAACGGTTTCCTTCTCAGCTTTCTGCAGGTTCCGCAACAATTTGATATCCAAGTCCAAACCCTCCCAGTAGTATACAATTCAAAGTCATCGCACGCAACCAAAGGAAAACGCCGCCCGCAGCAATGCACATCCATCCATTTCTCTCATAATTAACCAATCATTCCATGTAAAATTGCCCACGCCCCTTGGAGGCCAGACCGAACCATCCGACTCAGAAATGGTATCTCAGGAATGAAATGCTCAGAAGACTTTCCAGAAACTCAAGCAGCAACCGCTAGACAATTGATGATATCCAAGGATCCACAAATACAACGAAACAATTCATCACTCATCAAGAGGTCACGCCCGGCCGGACCGCGCCGGCCGTCGCCTGAGCCGCGTTCCGCACTTGCTTCGCCCAGCGCAGTCCACAGCTGTTGCAAAGATCCCGGTTGCCACTGGGTCCCCGCCGCCACTCCGGGGTGGTCTTTGTCTGACACATCGAACAGCTCTTCTCCACCACAATGGTGCTCTGCTTGCGCTTGCGCTTCTTCCGCCGTGTGATCAACCGCTGCATCTCGTCCGACAGGGTGCGGTTCTGCTTCTCTAATTCCCGCAGTTCGAACTGCCAGCTGGAACCCCGCGTGGGCGCCAGTTCCGTGAACAGTGTGTTATCCTCTAGCGAGGCCAATTGCTGATTGCCCGCTGGCAACCGGTTGGTCCCCACCAGCCCGGACAAGTCCACCCCGGTTGGCGCGAGCCCCAAGTCCGTTGATGAACCCGGTTCGTCAGATGCCCCCGGCGTGGACATCTTTGGGAAGCGTAACTGCGCCACCAGGAAAGAAGGCGGGGCTCCTTCTTTTGCATCGCCGGGTAAAAGCGTCGTCTGCACCTGGAGCATGTGGCCCTTGCGGTGACGGATCTTGTGGTTGAACGAAACCTGTTGGCCACCCCTCGCTGCCTCGAGCGCCTGCAAGGCCTGTGGTCGCGTGTCCGCTCCCATTAGGTCCTGGATGCTCTTACCAATCAGGTCTTCCGGAAACCGACCTAGCACCGGCCGCGTCTTCGATGAAACATAGAGGACGATCCCAGACATCGACAGCTTGGCCCAAAGGTCATTCTCTGCCAAACCCCCACGGCCAACGACAGCAACATGATCAAGACTGTACACGGCCCGGGAACGACCCACGAGAACCATGTATTGCCGTCCGCGGTCGGTGATGTGCCACGACCCGTGGCTTTCGAACCAGACATATCCACTATGTTTCTTCCGGATGCGGTAAACCACACTCACTGGCTCGGGAGTAATGCAGGCACGGAGTTCGCGGATCACAGGACCGATGTCACTCGGATGACAGACGGTCGACAAGCCTTTTCCAACTAGTTCTACCGCGTCGTACTCCAGGACCTTGTGACAAGATGGGGACAGATAGAGGAATTCGCCCTCGAACGAAAGCACATGGACGACGTCGTCCGTGTTTTCCACCAAAACCCGATCCAGTAACTCTCGATAGATGGGCATAGAGCTGTTCAGGCTGTCGAGAATCGTCGACACCTGCTCCGGGGCCCACATGGTAATCAGCTCCGGGTTGACTCGGTACATGTCCGGAGACGGGACTACGTAGTTGGGCAGTTGACTGCGTTGATAATTGATCATGTACGTGCCATCTGCGGAAGAGCCATGTCAGTCCAGCTTCAACGAACAGCTCGGTTCCCAAGAGGGTCATACTGGGGTTTCGTCGGGTGACAGCGTCGGGCTGTTCGACCAAATCGACCTGAAAGCCGACGTAAAAGCGGTAATCCGGGCCACCCCATCGAATTGGGATCATGGTAACCAAGTTCACGAAAGGTTGTCCACCTTTCCGGTAGTTGATGATACTGGCCTGGATCTCGGCCCGATCTTCGATGGTTGACCGGAAGCGAAAGGCGGTGTTCTCGTCGACAAACTTCCGCTGCATGCCCTGGTACACCACACCGTCGGGACCTTGCAGGAACCGACAGTTATGGCCCACGATCTCATCTTTGGTGTAACCAGTGAGCCGTTCGAACGCTTCCGAGACGTACACAATGGGATGGTCGTCCTGGGTGATATCGCAGAGCACAAAGGCACAGGACAAATCCACTGCGCCAATATCTATCTTGGCATCCGGCCGGGACACTACTTGAGCCTAGAAGGAAGTCGATCAATGGGCGAAGGCGGTGAGTAGGCGGGTCAGCACTTGAACCTACCAATATTCCCATGATATCGAAGCCACTGCTGGAGTAAATGCTGGAATATGGAGACTCGCTACCCACTTCGGTCTTGGGCCGAGGTGGTACGGCCGCTAAGAAGCGTAGAGAATCCGCATCAGCCTTCCAACTCAGATAGGAATCAAAGAGAGCAATACCCACCCTTTGGTGAAGGCCGCTTTGGCTGGATGAATCGATGGGATACGGTGGCATTCGAGGCTTGCGAGTAGGAATGCTGTTGCACCTCGGCCTGTGCAGCAGCACCAGCACGCCGCGAGCCGCTCTGATCCCGCGCGGGGCGGGCCGTAGATGTGGAGGGGGTTTCGATCGAGGGCCTTACGGCGGCGGCGGCAGCGGCGGCGACGACTGCAGGTTGCACGGGAGCGCTTAGATCCTGAGCCACAGGCGGAGCCCAGTATGCGGTGGCGAGAGCCGATTGATTCCGTGGAATGGGATATGCCGCAGGAACGGGAGGATCTAGATCAATGACTTGGGTAGGCAAAGGGGGACGCTGTACGGTAGAATGGCGATCGAGATTGGGATCTAAAGCGCCGGTTGTATGGAAGGTGGAGGCATCGTAAGCGAAGCTATTTGCTGCTTCCATACTCATGACCATGCCGTGGCCCGCAACATTCATCGGATCGTAAGCATGCATCGAAGCATTCGGGATTCGGCCTCCCAGGCCGGGTGTCCGGGGCGGGGCCGGATGGTGGCCGTGCAGACCGGTTTGATGCAGAGCCAATGCATTTGGATGGGATGGGATCAGGGCACCAGGGGCACCGTTGGACAAGAAATCTGAGGGGTGCGATTGGTAGGGAAAAGTTCCCGGGTGAAACTGATCGGAACTGGGGTAAGCTAGCGGAAGCAGAGAAGTTTGCTGGGCGTGAGGATAATCGGAGGGAGGACCTAGTTGGGGGTCCTGTATGGGATAGTGTGCCTGATAGAAGGGGTCGTCGAAACCTTCCATGGCGGAATGAGAGGGGGGTGGGAAATGGGGTGGGCGGTGGTAAGGAGGAGGGTCAAGCCGACTCCAGCGGTCGACGGACCACGTCCGATCGATTCGAGATCAGGCGGCAGGCCAATGGGGAAGTCGCATCGAAGCCGGCGGCACTGCGCAGGAAAGGACAAACAAGGTCGGTCCGGATTCAAAAAAAAAAAAAAAAAAACCCCCCATGTAAGTCAAGGCCAGGAAGTATAGCGGATGGAAGGTGCAGAGAAGAAAGGAGGGACGGGAGGAGGAGAGGGCGAAAAAGAAGAGAGAGGAAGAGAAGAGCGGGGGGAGGAGGGAAGGGAAGAAGACGAGGAAATGGAGGAAGAGGAGGAAGAGGAACCAGAATGGATGGGGGAATCGAGAATCAAAATAATAAAATAATCCAAATAATAATAATAATAGTAGTAGTAGTAGTAGTAGTAGTGATAATGATACTAATTGGACCGGGGGAGAGGGGTGGGGGACACGGTGAGTGGTCAACCCATGCTCTTCTCTGGGGGCACTTCAATATAAGAAGTCGACCGTCAGCCCTCGCGATTATTTTCTCTCTCAAGAGAAGAGAGGACGGGGGACACCGAGCGAGAGAAAGCGAAGTGATCTATATTATTATTGGTAAACGAGGCACAGGGCGAGCGTCTGCGCTAAGATAGAGTCGGGAAAGAGGAGGGAGGGAGGAGGGGCAAAAAAGAAAAGAAATATTGTCGACGTTGACTGGCAGCCTAGTCGACATCTCGCATGAAGATGCCCACAATGAAATAGTCGTTGATGTTCCCCCTCTCCACTTGGAGTGAACAGCGGCTGGAACTTTTCTCGGTTGGGTTGGTGAGGGAGGAAGAGGCAAAGATTGAAGCTGCAGGCGAGGAAGCAAAGAGGGGAAGAGAGAGAGAGACGAGACCGAAGAGGAAAAGTGAAGATGGTCCTGGTCCGCACAGCTGGGGAGGGAAGGAAGGCGGTGGAAGGCAACTGGTGGATGGAGAAAAGAAGCAACAACAACAACAACAACAACACCACCTCAACAGTTGATCTATCAAATCTGATGCATCCACCTCCAAACAGAGAGAGGCAACCGTCTATCTTCTTCAGTTACAGACTGGTCTGTGGTGCAGGTGGATACGGACGGATATTCCATGCCATACACTACTTGCATTGACATTTTTGACAGGCTAAGTCCGAAGTAAGATAAGCCAGCCCCAAGGCCCCAAACCCAACCAGATGACGATGCATCATCCCAGGGGCAAACAAAGACCAAAAGTACGATTGAGGTGCAGGACCAAAAGTACCAAGACCTACTCGGTACTCAGTACTCAGTACGGAGAGAAGTAGTAAGAATGTTCACCTCATCAATCCTATTGTTCTTTGTTGCACTACTTCATCTCCCCCTTATCAATCTAGTAAGTCAAGGGGGTTAACGTTAACCGGTTGATGTCACTTACCTGGCTAGTTAGGTACAGTCAGTACCTTACCTACTCCTATCTAAATAACTACTCCATCTTGTTGTTCCCTCCCGACCCCCTTTACTCCTTCTACTCGCATCCTCCATTCCATGCCCATCATGAAGGGATTCATGTACTGTACCTTCACTACCCTCCCCTTGGTCCCCGCCCGACGACTCCCCCTCGTGGAAGGAGATCATGTCACTCGTAAAATCCAGCACTACTGAGCCGATTGCATTCCTGGTCAATCCCTCTTGTGCCTGGCCTGGCCTGGTTCAAGGATCCAGTCCAGCCCGACCCGACCGGATCTTGATCCTGTGCCTGGGGGTTCCTGCTGAACGTTTCACTCGGCCCACTGAGTCGGTCGATCACTTCTTTTAAATCTCCTTTCTCCCTCCTCCAATTCTCTTCCATGACTTCGCAACTCTCGTCACATATCATCCCATCCCACTTGCTCGCAGTTGATTGTGCCAGCTTACAATCATCTCTCAAACTTCCTGCCTTCCCCCTTCCCCCTTCCCCCCTCCCCCCATTCCTCTTCCACCGCCCAAATTTCCCTTCTAGCGATAACCAATGCCGGACTCTCCGGAGAAAATCTCCATCACGATCTGTGGAGATGGTGGATGCGGTACGTGCCATCGAATCACAGACTATGCATGAGGTGGATGGGCCAATAAAAAGCGGAGGTAACTCTGCGCTGCCCCGTTTCACGTGCGCAATGGTTCTGTTCATATACACAATACAATTCAATGCGCGTTCGGATCACTGACCGGGGCTGGTTGCACTGTAGGCAAGTCTTCAATCACTCTCAGACTGGTGCGCAGCCAGTGGACGCATGAGTAAGTGTCCGGTCGTCTACCTGCACAACATAAACTAATCCACTGCGCGGCGTCAGGTACGATCCGACAATCGGTAACGCTCTTTCCCTCCCTCACCGCACCATTCCCGATAATCACTTGAGCGTTTACTAACATTCAAGGGCAACTGCAGAAGATTCATATTCCGTCACGCGCGTCGTGGATGGAGTGCCCTATTTCTTGTCTATCACCGATACGGCGGGCCAGGAGGAATACCGCGGACTATGGACGGCTTCCAACCTGAAAACAGATGCTTTCTTGCTGGTCTACGATATCACCAATCAGCACAGCTTGCACGCCCTGGACTACTTCATGGATATGATTGAGATCGAGACTGAACAGCGAGCCGAACAGAGTCACCGCCTGCGACAAGAACTGGGAGACAGTGCGGCGGGCCTGAGGGTGGGCATGCCGCCGCCCATCAAGATCGTAGCTGGTAATAAGTGCGATCTAAAAGAGAGTCGAGTGATCGGGGCTCCTCAGGGCTTGGAGTATGCCCGCAGGCATGGGTGCGGCTTCATGGAGACCAGCGCTCGTGAGATGGTCAATATCGAGGAGACCTTTTCTTGTAAGCCCTCGTTCCACTCGATCTAGACGCCCAAGAGCTGACACCTTGTTAGTGTTAATCCAACGAGTGGTTGAGGCGCGCCAGGCCTTTTATCATCCGACGGCCTTGATCCCAGAGCCGGCCCAAGGCAGCGGCTGGGTTCCAGAATTGAACTCGACAGCTAGCACGATCGTCCACTCGCCCTCCGTGGAATTGCCCTCTAAACACGTAGCACCCCGACAGCGAGGTTTTGGTTGGCTCCGGGATAGGAAACGAGTCCATCAACGACAGGCTGATAGGTATCGTTATGGCAAGTCCGATCCTCCCGTGCCATCGCATCGCGAGAAGCAGCAAACTCGTTCGGCAGCCAGAACCTGGCGACGAGTGTGGTGCTTTTGATTTCAGGCTGGCCGGGCTGCGCGGGTCCCGGGGTCTGCATTCCGGTTTGCGTTATGAAGCGTGTCTTATATTCATATACCCTCATGTCTCACACGTTGATACAAGAAAAGCTGTTGGTTGAAATACGAATTGCTCTAGCCCTTCAAGGACCTTTTCTCACCGTCACTGACTTCCGATAATAAGGTTTCTCTTTAGCTCATGACGAGATGAACAAGATGCGGGTCATCGAGTAATTGTGGCAGCATGACTGCGAGGCAGCATGAGGTCATGGGCCATGGGCGAGTCCAGATCGTGAGACCGAACACAGGTCATATATCTTATCGCCGGCCTGTGATGACATATCAGCCAGAGCAGCCAGAGTTTGTCCATGTGCTTATCCAGGCTGAGGTACGGCATCCCGCGCGGACATGTTCTCTTCTCTGAGGTCTCTTCATCTTAGAATACATCCGTCTCTCTCCTTCCATGGAGGGGGAGTGAGTGAGTGAGTGGAACCCGTCGGAAAAGGAACGCGGGATGACGCTATGGTCTGAAGCACCCACGCTGCATGGGGCCGGTTCTAGAATCGCAGGTAGAACCGGGTCAATTTTTAATTCTCATGGCGTGACTGTAGGCAGGGGAGTCCTTGCGTTAAGGGTACGGTTCATTTACTTTCTTCGCATAGTGGTGAGTAGTTCGTCGGTAATTCGAGCCATCACCCGTTCCCCGGTCTGTCGATCCCTCGTGGCCCGTACCTTTGGGGGGAAAATGGTCAATGGATGATCGCAAATGAATAAACATGAACCATGTTGAACCTGTCCATTCGAGAGAGCTTGAGGGGTGGACCGGGTCAAATTGGGGGGAGAGATCAAGAATCCGCGGGAAGAGGAGAGGATCAGCATAGAGGTAGAGTAGAAAGGAGGAGGCGGGGCAGGTAGAAACTGGAAGGAAGGAGTTTGACCAAGGTCTTTGGATCATTGATCTGATTGCAAGGCTGGGAAAAAGTTAATCTACTAGGTCGGTAGTCTATAGTATTATTGCTGAGAACATGGTACTACTATTATACAATCAACGAGGTATCAATAGTGGCGTAACCACGAAAGTCAAATTCCGACACTATCGCAGATTCGCATTTCCTTCTCCTTTGCTTTCTTCTCACAGCTGCGAACAGCGACCTTGATTGTACCAAGATATGGATACTCTGAGGGGGGAGAGCCAATCGGGGCGCGAATGACAGGGCACATCCAGCGTGGGTGACCTGATATCGACTCATTGAACTAAGGCATGCTAACGTCATTGACTAAATGGCCTAATTCATCGCATGGTGGAAGAGCTGGGGGAGGAGGAGGAGGAGGAGGAGGAGGTCAAGCGTTCTCTCTCCTCCTCGGAGAAAGAAAGCGAAACGATCGGACTGGAAAGGAATTGGTAGAACAAAACGCCGATCAGCAAACGACAGTCTGAAATCATCAAAGCTTATCGATGCTGTTCTTGTTCCTCGTCTCCCGATGACTTGGTTGGTGAGTACTGTAAGTACACTACTATAGAAAGCAGGCTGCCGGTTTAAGCTTTTCCGGAGGATAATGTAGGTACGTACAGTGTGCAGTATACAGTATACAGTAAAGAGTAAAGATGCAACAGACAAACAGACAGACAGACAATGAATCCAGGAGAATGGTTGATTTTGCTAATTGTTGATAGCAAGGAACTGAAGGAATGGGAGATTTCAGATCGCCGATCTTGGCAGCCAGCCAGCCAACCCCTTTGTGGTAAGTTACCGTCCGCAGAACAACCTGAAGTGAACTACTGGGCAGTTCTCGGCAAAGTCATGCCGAACAAGAGCAGGTGGGCTTTGCACTAAGAACGGTTGTTGTGCCGTAATGCCGAGCTTATGCAAGCGCGAGATGTCATTCTCATTCAAGCGTACAGTAATGACTCCTGTCGATTTTACTTGGTAGACTTGAGTTACTGTCATGGTGACAACCACCCACGTTCACGAACGAACAAGATTATCTTCCCATGGCTTTACTTGTGAGCCTGGCCTCAATCAAGCCGAGAACTTTCCTAGAGAAAATTTCTTTGATGGTAGACAGATACCTATACTAGACACTAAACACCCTTTTTACTCCTGTCACTTATTTCCGGATATACATACTACGTACTGACAACTACCATGTAAAGAGTGAACAACCGTCGGATATACGGCTTCCAGTGCAGTCAATGGGTACCGATTGCCCTTCATTTGCAGTGGACGATGAGACCCTTCCCGGCGGGACGGAAGATGGAACCAGAACAGTGTAGTGATCACTATGTATGTACAGTACAACTACAGACAGTAAGTTAGTGGACTCGGGATGAAGTAACTCAACCTCGAACTGACCTGAACTTTCCTCCCCTCCTCCTCCCTCCCCAAAAGGGATTTTTCAACCCCGGGGTCCGAGGCTAGGCCCGCGACACACACCGATTCAGGTAATCAGCCTCTCTGCCGCGGGCTTTCTCTTGCTCAGCTCCCGTTCCGTTATCCGTGATTCGTATCAGGTAAGAATACCCACGAGTGACGTTTCGATCGTATTGGGTCTGTATGACTGTATCAACGTATGATCGTATGAATGCATGATTCATTGCAGTTAGTTACATCCCACGGATACTCGGCCATACAGCTCGCCGACACTCCTCAGCCTCTAAGAGGTACAGCCAGGTTTGAATGACCCGAATTTTTGGTAGAGGAAGAAGCATTGGGAAGGGAGGTCGAGATGATGTCAGTCTGATTTACAATAAATATCAGCCCAGTGTATATAGTGAAGGTCCGCAGCAAGGCCCTGCAATCTTCATAGATTGTATTTCTTACTTGCGGTATTGATGCGGAAATCTCCACCAGGCTGGTCTGGTCGTTACGGCCGCACCCTGTAAATTTTAAACTGTAAACTACGGATGACCCGTGCTGGAAACATCCTTCGACTTTCTTGATTACTGAGATGCGACTAGACCATTTCAAATCATTATAATAATGATAATTCTTCCATAACTGCCCCCCCCCCCCCCCTCTCCTCTCTTACTCTTAGATTTTAAAGAGCTTCCAAAGTCCCTTTTACCTCTAGCTCCTTTGATTTCTTGATCTCAAGCTCATTCTCTTCCGTGCGGATTCTCTCCTTCGAATACTAGTCGTATCCTATACTACCGACTCTATACTAGCTAACCCTATCTCGATCAACCTGAACTTTCCTGACTCTGGCTCATTGCAACCCTACCCAGTCTTCTGGATCGATCCAACTTATTCTCTCGGCGTTCCATCGACTCATGTGCCTTACATTGACCGAGAAACTTGAGATAGAAGTGATTCCATCGGTTTTACCTTTCCTGCCCCAAGATCGTTATATCATCGATCAACCTTAACCAACTCCCCCGTCGATACTTGGATCATTACAACATTCCGCTGCAGCAATTTCTCCCAGGAGGGGAAGATAAAGCAAACGACATTCGACTTACTTGACTACAAGACCTCACCTCTTGTCCCTGGCGCCGCTATTATCATCAATCATCAATCATCATCATCTCTCTCTTCTGCCCCTCCCCCTCTTTCTTCTTCTACCTCATCCTACTTCCTCTCCTTCCTGCGCCTTGCCATTCGACGAGCTCCGCCGAATAAACTATAATCACCATATACATACATCCATTCATACATACACCAACCCACCTATATATACCTATATACATATATAGACGCAAACACACACACACACACACACACACACACACACACAATGACAGCGCGCCAATCGTCACCGACTTCAGATCACTCACATTCGGACGGCAACGTCCGTAAGAGGGTTTGCAAGGCCTGCGATCGGTGTAGACTGAAGAAATCCAAGGTAAGCTAAAGCCATGGCTCGACGCATCAGCTTCGGCCTGATGCACTGACCCGGTGCAGTGTGACGGAGCCAACCCATGTGGTCGGTGTAGGACGGACAATGCCATCTGTGTCTTTGGCGAGCGAAAGAAGGCCCACGATAAAGTGTACCCCAAGGGGTGAGCGCGTTCCTTGGCCTTGAGCTTTTGCTATGGATTTCGTCGTGTTCGAACCAGTGACTGACTCTTCGCGCGACAGATATGTTGAGATGCTCGAACAGCAACAGGCATGGCTTGTCCATGGACTTCAGGAGCTGTACCGACGAGCCACAGAAGGCGAAGGCTGGCCCGGCGAGCCGTTGCAATGCGAACCAAACGGCCATCCGCTGACGCACGACTTACTCACTCGACTGGGGGCGCTGGATCAGATGAAAGGCGAGCGCTTCGAAGAGAACACGGAGGCCATGCAGCAAGAGCTGTGGACGCAAAATGCCGGACACATGCAACGTCAAGATTCGTCAGATGGAAGCTCCGATAGCGCGCAATCACCCACTGTTCCCACTCGATTTTCGGATCCCTTTGCGCATCAAATGCCACCCACCCCGACGACCTTCAGCGCATCTCGCGCACAGGGACCCACGATCAAAACCGAACCGCAGATGGCCCCCTCGAACCCGGCGTTCGCAGCTTCCATGCCCATGCAAGGCGTGGTCAACCCCTTGGCGCTTCAGACCCCGCAACAATGGCCCAGCAACAATTTCAGCGCTTTCGAGGATATCGATATGATAGGTGCCTCGGACTACACGAACCTATCTTTCGACGATCAGGTTCCTTCGCCCATGTTTAACCGTCAGATCCCCATGAATTGCATGTTGACCTCATCGTATATGGACACGAAAAGCGATTACGAAGATATTAATCAGTTTCTGAACGCGAACCCGCCTGAGATCGCGTCTACCTAATGAGTCCCTTGGACATGCCGCAATCTTGCAAACGACTTGTTGGGGGGAGATGTCGTTTCACCAGCGTGACGTGACGCATGTACAGTATACATGTATGACGTGTCTTCCAACTGTCTCGCCTGGTGCTACCCCATTTTTCTCGATGACCACATGCGTTTACTTAATTGCGGCAGAGAGCGATTGGCAGACTGTACAGTGTGATTTTCTCTTCTTTGATGT